TAAAAAAAAAGTAAAATGAAGCTTGAATGGTCCAAGGTACGCATGTATTTGTATTGACATGCATAATGCATCAAATGTTTCGTTAGCTTTTATCTGAAGGGTATCTGTTTCCCCCTCCCCCATCTGATCTGAAAAGATATGAGAGAACCGTTCTTTGTGGATAACAGTGTACCCTCTGATAAGAGCGTTGACGCAAATATCTGTTAGAAGTCACCCTTGATTAAGTACTGTCGTAACTATAAAATATCTAATAGGGTCACTACGGTCGGTATGGGTGTGGTCATAAATTGTATCATGGTTTAGCAAGCGGGAAATGTGCCTATTATCTGTATCTGATCTGGTCATTCCACATAAGTAGTCGGAAATCCGTATCTGTCCTCAGAGATGAAAGTCGGAACGACTTCACAAAGCATGACAAGAAAATTTGAGCATTCATGATTTATTTGATTTTCTCTATTGTCAAATATGCTGTTTGTTTTTATTGTTATGATTATGACATAATGTTTTCTTAATAAATAAATTGTTTTCATAACGTAGGATAGGACCATGACGTGACCTAATAGTAAGTGTTTATGATATAATTATTCACTTTTTAAATCTTACGATATTATTTAAATACTATTTTTCTTACTGAGTATATGTAACTCACTTTTTCTATACCCCCACAGATGAGGAAGATAGTAAGGGACCGTCAGCTGACCTACCCATCGAAGTCTATGAGAATCTTGTGGATTTGCAAATCTTGAGTGCATGATTGTTTTCGAACTCTAATGAATCCAATACCATTAATAGAAGTGGTCTTTTTTGTATTTTGACATTTGTATTTCGTAGCCACTTCTGGCCTCAGTTATATATGTTTTTGAAACTCATATTTTGTAAGGAATTTGTATTAATTTGCTCCACTACATATAATTTTTATCATGCACTCATAACCTGTTTCTGTATCTGACACCCACATGACTTAGTTAGCATATGAGATGTCACAGATGGCATCAGAGCAGTTACGCAAATCAAATCCCTTACAACTGAGACTGTAGGTAGAAAAACCCTAAGG